GAGAAGAGCAAGCATGGTATCTCTGGTATTTGTCAAAAATTCATAGTCTAGTCATGAGAAAACATCAAACCCAAAGTAAGGGTCATTCTACAGAGGGTCACTGGCCACTCTGTTCAAAAATGTCAGTCATAAAAGAAAGAAACAAGGAAAACCGGAGGAAGTGCTCCGGGTTCAGGAAGACTGAAGGGAAAACACAACTAAATGCACATACACCATCCTCGACTGGATCCTGGGACAAAAGATTGTAAGACCTTGTTTGGAGTAATTGGTAACATGTGAATGTTGTTAGTGGATTGAACGGTAGGACTTTATCAATGTTGGTTTCTTGATTTTAATGGATGTACTGGTTATGCAGGAGAGTCCGTTTTTTAAAAAATATGCACTAATGTGTTTAGGGTTAATGGGACATCTTAACTGCAACTTAGTATCAAATAATTCAACAAATAATATGCATTGGTAGAATGACAAGGTAAAGTGGCAAAATGTTAACGGGAAAATTTAGGGGAAGGGTAAGAGGCTCTTTGAAACTATTCTTGTAACTTTTCTGTTTAAAATTATTTCAAAATAAGTTAAAAAATAAGATACATACAAGTGGTCTTTCAGCAATTAGGAATTTATTATACTAGTTCTTATACTAGAAAAATCTCTGCTTAATGGTTTCATTATCTCAGGCAAAACTATGCAAAAGGATAGTTTGAAATACGAAAACTTTCCTTAATGGGCAATAATATAAAATTTTGCTTAAAAGTTAAAAGTGCACGATGTCCTGAATCTTCATTAAATATTTCTTCCTGCAATAATTTGTCTCCTTGAAAAAAAATCACTATATAAGATAGTGAAAACCTTAAAAATTTGAATCCTGTCCATTTAGGATAAATTTATTTCTTATATCTGATAAAGGATTTATACAATCTCATTAGAGATTTATATGTCCTTTGACATTTAAATATGAAATTTTAACCTGAACCATGGCCTAATGGGTGATATTGGAAACTAGAGTATCTTTATGATTTCGGGTATATTCTACTACTTTTAATTATAGTTTGAGATTAAGTAAATTTTAATATTATCAGTCTCCTATGGTAGCAAATGAATGTCTGTAGAAAAAGGTTTTATTTATTTATTTATTTATTTATTTATTTTTGTCATTTAGAGTCAAGAGCTAATGTCACATTGGACCAAGACTACAATGTTTTTTAAAATAATTGGCATTTCTCATATACTTGGTAAGTGATCGTGAAAAGGAATGAAACAAGGAGAGCAGCGGCACCCTTGGAATAAAACAGCTTCCCACAGAGATCTGTCGGAAGGGCTGCACCAGTTTTGAATGTACAATTTAGTAGTACCTTTAAAAACACTGTAACAGCTGTATCAGGAAAAAATGGAAATACCTATGATAAATTGGATATTGAACATGAAAATCAACAAAACCTCAGAAAACGATGAAGTCTTTATGAATCCTTTGTGTATTCGCCACTTGAGATTATCACTAAAATTTGAGTAGGATCCGTGAAATCCATTAACCATTTCACAAAAGCAGCACATACACTCTCTCTTCAACTACGGTGGAGAGAGATGTAAAACTCTCTAAACTTCTATTCTGCGCCTTGAAATCACATTTTGACTTCAAGAACTAAAATGAAATAGGTCTGAGTAATGAAAAGACCAAAAAACTGAGTTGTGTGCGATGGTGGGGAGAAGAGGAACAGGAGAGAGAAGCAAAGATACCCTCACTTCCAGCAAAGTGCAGGCTTTTTGTTTATTTTAGTAACTTTTGGTATCTTCTCATAAACACAATTGAGATGGTTAAGGGAAAAAAGCCCGTTGCGGGGCCCCTGCCCAGCAGGCAGATCCGAATGTTGCTCCCCTAGTCCCCGCTGTGCCCTTTGCACCCCGGCCTACAGCCGCCGAATGCGGGTGAAGGGGGCTGGGCACGGGGACGGCCGCCGCCCAAACGCACCAGCAGCTAATCGACCTCTCGGTCGCTGAATTACTAACCACCGTTGACAGCCTTTGACTCAAGTGGTAATCGGTTCATCAATATTTCACGAACAAGAACCTGTGATGAAACTCCAGAACCTTACAACCGAAAACGAAGTGCCGAGGCTGCCTTACCCTTCCTCCCGCCTCCAACGGGCAGCCCTCGCAGCCGCCGCCGGGTAAGGGCTGCCAGGGCCGCCCTCAGGCCAGGGGAACTGAAGGCATTTCTCCTAAGCAAAGGGAACGTCAACCAAGGAACTAAGAAAGCGGTGCGGAAAACAAAACAGCTGAAATTTATAGCTTAACTCTCAGAATGGCGTGGCTGAGAGGGACTGCAGGGCTCATCTAGTTCAACACACTTACTTTAGTCCTGAGGGACTGGGTTGCATGCGGATTCTGGATTCATTCAGTGCTGAATTAACGGTCTCTGGGAGGCTGGGTTCCAGTTCCAACTCTGTCTCTAACCGGCTATTTGGCTCTCAAGCAGATCCCTTCCCTTCCACAGCCCCAGTCATTCAATGTTAAAACAAGTGTGTTGAACTACAGGAATTCTCGAGTCCCTCTCAGCCATAACATTCTAAGCTGTAAATTTCAACCACTTTCCCTCCCTATGGCTTATTTAGCAGAAATTCATAAGCTGATCTAAAATTCATATGAAAATGCAAGGAAACCAGAATAGCCAGAACAATCTCGAAAGACAACAAAGTTGGAAGACTCATACTTGCCGATTTCAAAACTTGATATAAAACTACAGTAACCAAGATAATGTGGTATTGGTACATATAAGGATAGATACAGAAAACAGAATGTAGGGTCCAAGAACAAGCGCATACATTCATGGGCAACTGATTTTCAACAAAGGTGGCAAGAAAATTTGATAAAGAAACAGTCTTTTTAACAAATGATACTGGGACACCTGAATATCGCATGCAAAAGAATAAAATTGGACCCATACTTCATACCACATAAAAAAATAAACTCAAAATGGATCAGAGACTTAATATAAGACCTAAAACTATAAAATGCTTAGAAAAAAAACCGTCAAAAATCTTCCTGACCTTGGATGAAGCAATGATTTCTAAGGTATGACACCAATAGCAAATGGCACCAAAAAGAAAAGAAAGGTAAATTAATCAAAATAAAAAATTTTTATGCTTCAAATGACACTATCAAGAAAGTAGACAAACACACAGAATGGGTGAAAATATTTGCAAATCATATATATCTGATAAAGATTTAGTACCTAGACTATATGAAAAACTCTTATAATTCAACAATAAAAAGATAAAAACCCAAATAAAAAATAGGCAAAGGATCTGAACAGACATTTCTCAAAAAAATACTCAAAATGACCAGTAAGTACAGAAAAGATGTTCAACATCATTCGTCATTAGGGAAATGCAAATCAAAACCATAATGAGATACCTCTTCACACATGAGCTTGCTAAAATAAAAAAGATGGTGAGTGACAAGTGTTGCTGAGAATGTGGAATAATTAGAATTCTCCTACACTGCGGTGGGAATGTAAAATGGGGCAGCCACTTTGGAAAAGTCTGGCAGATTTTCAAAAGGTTAAACAGAGTTACCATATGATCCAGCAATTCAGCTTAGATAGAGGGTTAGGCAAAAGTAGGTTTACAGTTGTGAGTACACAAAACATAGAGTTTATTCCTGTATCATTTTCCATATGAACAACTGTAAACATTTTGCCCCACCCTGTATATACCCAAGAAAACTTAAAACATATGTCCATACAAAAACTTGCACACTAATGTTCAGAGCAGCATTATTCATAATAGCCAAAAAGTGGAAACAACCCAAACGTCCATCGACGACGAATGGGTAAACAAAATATGGTATGTCCACACAAAAGATTACTCAGCCATAAAAAGAATACTGATGGATGCTGGCTACCACATCGATGAATTCTCAAAATATTACGCTAAGTGAGAAAAGTCAGGCACAAAAGGCCACATATTTTATGATTCCATTTTTTCTGAAATATCCAGAACAGGCAAATTCACGGAGGCAGAGTAAATTAATTGTTGCCTGGGGCTGGAGAAAAGGGAGGATGGGCACTGACTGCTAATGGGAGTGAAGCTTCTTTCTGGGGTGATGAAGAGATTCTGGAATTAGTGGGAATGGTTGCACAATGCTGCAAATATACTAAAAACCAATGAACTGTGCACTTTAAAACAGTGAATTTTATGCTGTGTGAATCATATCTCAATTTTTTAATAAAAGGCAAATGACTCTTAGAAAACTGATTTCCTCACTTCTGTTTGAGACCACCTACTGGTTCATGGATATATTTAAAAGTTTGCAATGATCTTTGCCATTTGTAATCCTACTGTAACAACATACTACAAAAAAAATTTATTTTTAACCTAATTATTTATAGATATCAGCTGATGGTCTACTTGTATTTATTTTGCTTCTAAGCAGTAAAGATCTAGAAATTCCTCCGAGTTCATGATTTATCTCATAGTCCCTTTTAAAATTCGTATTTTGCTTAAGTAACTGAGGCTAAACAAATGTCTTCATTTTAGAAATTTTAGTAATATTATCATCTAGAAACAGGTAAAAACATTGCTCCTACAATGGCATTAGTTAGCATAGCCATCTTCAGTACTTTAAAATTTAATTCCTGTTCACAGGACAATACAAAGTTTTGGCAAGCCCTGCTGGTGTGGCTCAGCTGGCTAAGCATCAGCTGGTATACCAAAAGGTCACTGGTTCGATTCCTGGTCAGGGCACATACCCAGACTGTGGGTTCAATCCCCAGTTGGGGTGTGTACAGGAGGTAATCGATCAATGTTTCTCTCTCTCTCTCTCCCCTTCTCCCTTCTTCTCTCTCAAAAAACAAAAAATTTTTAATTTAAAATTTTTTAAAAAAGGTTAAGCAAAGACAAATTTTCAATATCAGTATTGCAATGTAACATGTACAGCCAAATTCTTCAAATCATGAAACAAATGCACTTTCATCCCCCTGGAAAATAAATAGAATTTTAGGCTTACTCTATTCAGTAATGAGAGTTTAAGTGAATTTTTTTCAAAGCTCTGCAAAGAAAACATACTCTTCATCTTCTGTAACGTTGTTTTGTGTATCCAGTTTTTAGTATCAGAAAGCTGTAAACTGCATTAGCACTATAATCCACAAGAAAAGCTTTGTAAGCACTTGAAACAGAATGAAATGAATTCTAGTCTAATATCACTGGGTTTACTACACATAGTTCCAAATAAATTAAATAAGACAGATCCTCCTAAAAATGCTAAGAGTAAAGACAAGAGCTTAAATACTTATGAAATAAGCATCAAGATCTGCCAAGATTAAGCTACATGCTAAAAAAGTATCAACAGATTATAACAGGCAATATGATTTTGATTTTCAAGTTCACTGGAAATTGCATATATTCAGTTTTTATTCTTAAACACAAGTGGTGTGTATTATATCAGGGCTGCCGGCCCCAAGAAAGATGTGAATACAGGAAGGATAGCCTTGTCCAGTTTCAACATTATTTTTGTAGTAATGTGTATAAAACCAGCCACTGCTTGGGCAAATTTAGGAGAACATAAGCCTAAAAGATGAAACGTTTACACCTTGTAAATCAATTATACTGTTACCTTATAAAAATGTGAGGTTCAGATTTATTTCCTTGCAAACAGAGCACTAAACAGTTTCTAACACAGTAATCTCGCTGATAGTTAAGCTGTGTCTAATGTGTATGCAGAACCCTTAAGACATCAAGGAGTTCTTTCAAATTATGTATATTCAGATGATGGTGTTATAATCCAAAATGAACAACAACAACAAAATCTTGATAAAACAAGAAGTGGGAGAAATAAAAATTGATTTCTGAACCAAATATGCACAACCTCACACTAGAGTGGGTCTGGGAAATACAGGCATGGAGCAGATATGTGCATGTGAAGACAATTGCATATTATAATTCAAGAGAAGAGTTACAGCTCATACTCTTTGCTTTTTGTTTTTTAACTAGGTAGGCCTCAAAAAACTTTTATCAGGTTTTTACCTAATGGCACATCTTTCCTAAATAATTCTCACTTTGCATTCCAGAAAATGTAAGAAACAGTTTGCAAGAATTCATGCAAATATGTTTCTCTAAGGCCATGAACTGGTTTGCTAAGTTGCATTGTTTTGTTCAGGTAAAAAGCCCTTCTAGAATAAGGATTCTGTAAAGGAAAGCAATCTCCTTCACCTCTCAGGCCTGCACACGTGTTAGGTCTCCACCACTCAAAGCAAAAGGTAGAATGCTTATTGAGCATTAGCAAAATGGTCTCTATTTACATCTTTAAAAATCTAATGCATGTGTAAGTCTTTCTGGTAGATCCTTTCTGTATATTACCAAAAAAAAAAAAAAAAAAAGAGCAAAAGCTTAGAATAAGAATCCTTTTTTTCTTATAAAGGTCAAATAGATACTTCTTGACATGCTGTCCTTCACACAATGGCATACTGTTCATATAAAAGGTCTCTTATCCTATAAAAATCTTGACAAAGGCAGCCTTCTAATCCAATGCGTCCAGTTTCAGTCTAGAAATCAAGTAAAAAAAAAAGTTCTTTAGTACATTCTCCATCCATTAATATGCAGACATAATAACCAAAATATGTTAACTAGATTACTTTATGATTGGTCAGGAAATGGATTGCTCTGATTCACAGAATAAGGGTATATTATTCATGAATTTCACATACATATGAATGTCAGAGAATTCAAATAAAAATTTACAATAAAATTATCAAGTCTTTGAGAGTCACTTTTAAAAGCCTTCAAGGTCATCATCATGAATATAAATGACTGATTTCCAGTTTTGTGAAATTATCAATCAAGAATTACAGAATTCGATATGACAAAACATCAGAAGCATTTGTTCAACTCAACCCTTATTAAACACACTTACTCTACGAACTGCTACTTGATTGTTGCAAACAAGGACACCTCCTACAAATTCAGCTTGGATCCCCTCCCGTAAAAGAACTTGTTTGAAGTCTGACAGTCTTGGTTCGTTCATAAAAACTGACTGGTGGCCAGGAACCTTAGATAAAGTTAAAGGGGAAAGAACAACTTCAAATACAATGCCAGACACACAGACGTACTGACTAAAATAAAGTAGCACATGCTCTTTAAGACACTTTTATTATTCCCTGAAGTCCTTTGACAGATCATTTCAAGACTAAATTGCATCCCAAGTTGTTATTCTGAATTTTACCTCATTATTTGACATTACAAAGCCCTTCACATTTTCTGAATGTTTCACAATCAGTTTCATTAGTCATGCCTCATAATGACAGAGACACGCTGGTAATGGTATGCTCTTCACTCACCCACTTGCCTAAGGGGGTCAACCAGAGTGCCAGCAGGCAGAGCTGAACCCAAACCCTTTGCTTAGTTCAGACGTTTCTCCTGGTCTCAGTTCCACTTGCCCCCTCCCTCAGCTAATGCAGTGGATGCTCCAGGTTTTAGAATCGGAAAGGCAAGTGGTTCAACCGAATGCTGCCACTTTGACATTGCTCTGAAGAGTGCTCGCTTCAGCACAGACAGAAATCCATGCCAACTCTTCCCAGTCTCGAGAGCAGTAACGGCAGAAGTAATCCAGTGACAGAGGCTGTCTCTACTCCTTATTGCTTAGAAGGGCGAAAGACATCACTTGACATGCACGTAGGACTCTTATAATACAGTTTTAATGTTGTTGTAAGTCAATTCTCTGAAACCTTTACTAATAACTAAGTAGACATCTCTTGAGAACATGTCAATACTAGACTACGGTTATATCTATACTAAATAAAGATTTCTATCTATATCAAAACCAAGTGATTTGAACTGAATTGACAACAGACAAAACTGGAGTGCAGGAGTAAAACATTCTTGAGAAACTATAAATCTCCTGATTAGAAGCAGGTAGATGATTCATCAAACTTAATACTTAAAAATCCATACTGGGAAAAAAAATCACGAAACAATTGTGTATCTTGTGAAAGGTCTGCTAAAGCTTTCCTTTAAATTGTTATTCCCTATACAAGACACACACACACTCACACACACACTCTCATACACAGGGCGTACGCACACACACACACACACACACACTCTCACACACACACTCTCCTACACGGGACACACACACACTAACACACACACAGAAACAACCTAGAGTAATCTTTCTAAAAACTCCAAAGCCAGTCTACACGTGGCGTAATTTAAATGGTCAAAAGCCCAAAAGGGAACGGGAAGGGTGCCAGAAGGGAAGCGGCGCCGCGCCTCACCTCGCTGGGGGGCAGGGGCTCCAGGGTGGGGATGACCTCGCTCTCCTCCCCGGTCTCCCTCTCGTCGTCCCCGAACAGGCTCTTCATGGCCTTCTGCTGGGCGAGGGCGCTGGCGTCTGAGGGCGCGTCCACCTGCATCTCCGAGTCCTCTCCGTCGTCCTTCAGCTCCCCTTCTTCCAGAATGACTCCCGTGTCCACTTTGGACACTCTCATGTCTAAGACGCCGTCTATCCAGGCCAGCTCGGCATCTTTTGCCTTACAAAACTGCAGGGAGCTAACAAGTGAATCTTTTAATCTCACCTAGACATGCAAGGGGAAGAAGAGAAATAAAACCGCAAAGTACAAATTAACAATGAAATATAACCTATCACTCTCATTTTCTAAGTCTGGTAATGTGTATTAAAATTTCAAAATCTTTCACTCATCTGATCTTCACCAGGACTGGTGATGACCTAACGACCTGTAAGATCACTGGGCCCCTGCCTACTTCCCAAAATAAAGATTCTTAACCCAGACTGCACACTGGGGTTACATGGCAATTTTTAAAAACTATATCAGTGCCAGGACCCACCTGCAGTGACTCTAATATAACCAGTGAGATTAAGACCAGAGCACTGAAACCCCCAACTCCCCCAAAGCTCCCCAGGTGACTTTCATGTACAGCCGAGGCTGAAAACCACTAGTAGGTGTCACCCTCTAATACTCGGTGGTACCAGAGCAGTACTGAGTTGCTCAGTTGTCTAAATAAACCGTGTGGTTCCACACCTCCATATTCTTGGAACGCTGCTTCCTCTTGCTTTGCCCAGAATGACTTTTTTGTTCTGTAAATCTAATCTACTTTTTCCAAACAATACAGACATCACTTCTGCCTTAACTGACACCATCTCCCACTACCAAGTAAGAGTTAATCTCCCCTCTATTCCTATTGTCTGTGCCTGTCTCCATCTTTTTCCATTAGTAGAACCCTGACATTTGTGAATTTTTATAAAACTTTTGAATTCTTGAACACTCAACATTCCCCTCAGCTGTATATTTTTGCAAATGTTGTTTCCTCTGCCTGGTACACTCTTTCTTCCCTCCCTTTCCTATTCTACACACAACCCTGAGAACCCATCAATTAGGATTCGGCTTAGTTACCACTTCCTCTGGGAAATCCTTTGTAACCTCTAAACGTGGGTTGGGGTCTGCCTCTTTACACTCTCATAACATCCTCTACTTTCTCTATCAAAGGTATAACCGTGGAATAAATACTATTTCCTTGCTATAGGCCCCACACACTCAGATCTGCTAGGGCAGGGGCCTGTGTCTGTCTTACTCACCACTGTGTTCCTAAGGCAGCCGTCTGTCCTAATCTGCAGCACAAAGTATTTACTTTTACACGGCTCAAATGCCAGCACGTTTACCTGGTAGATGTGAGTCTCACTAGTGGCGTCCACTGTCTCGTGCAGCTTGGGCATGTACACTTTAATATCTTTCCCCCCGAACGCCCGGCAGCACTCTGCAAGGTCCTGGCTGGCCTCCGGAGGGCCATGGACAATGACCAGCTGCCGCGGTTTCATCTGATTAATGATCTTCTTAATGGAATCCCCATCAGAGCGTCCTTCATAGTCTATGTAAGTAACCCTGGCTCTGTAATCAGACATGATCATTCAATCTTACTTTGCTGATCAGTTCATTCAAAAACTAGGTTTTTAATGGCTTTTATTATCAGGAAAGAAACATATACAGTATACAAAAAAAGGGAAAGAAATATATACAGTATATAAAATGAGGATTCGAGGAAGATGCATTTGTTATATTATTAATATGTATTTTGGGGGAAATTATGGATTCTTTAATAGGTGTTATCAGAAAAAGATGGCTCACTATATAAGAAAAATAAAACTGGATCTTGACCTAATACCACATAAAATAGCAGATGAGTTGAAGCCATAAAAAACAACAACAGTGAAGCTTTAGATTACAGAATAAAATGTAAAAATTATCTTTGTGACTAAGGACAGGGAGGGACTTTTTTTTATATGAAACCCAAAAAACATAATGGGAAATATTTTATTATTTCCTTACATCAAAATTAAAGATGTTTTTAAATGAAGTAGACCATGGACAACTCTTATAAACAAATAACAGAATGGGAGATGGTATTTATTTGCAATGTCTAAAAGCAACCAGAGTAATATCCAGGATATACAAAGAACTCCTGCAAATCACTAACAAAAAGGCAGCAAACTAGAGAAAAATGCACGGAGGACGTAAACATGGACTTGACAGAAGAGAACACAAAAACAGGAACAAGCACTTGAAGAGATATCAGACTCAATAATAATCACAGTAAACAAATTTAAACAGTGCTGACATGTTACTTTATGCCTATTAGACCGGGAGACCTTAAAGAGTTAGAAAATGCAAAAGCTGGTGACACAACAGGGCGAGGGAGCCGCCTGCTCTGCTGGTGAGAATAGGAGCTGGAACAGCCGCTCTGGAGAGAATCCGGTGCACTGCTGACATGCACGATTCAGAGCTCGGCGACACCCAGGAGCATTACACACTAAACGGTATCACTGGGCAGGTACAAACCAGAAACCGCTTTGCTCTCTAATGAGTTTTTTAAAATTCTAGAATGATGACTTACTGGTGTTATTAACTGTACCAAGTAGAAAAGGAAAAAAGTTTCCTTAACTACTTCTGATCACTGTAGCATTTTCAAGACGTTAGGGCACTAGAAATGTTTAATTCAAGGAGTATATTTTATAAAACAAGCACTTAGGAAAATTAAACCTATGAACTGTATGCCTTCACCTACTACTAGACATAATAAAAGTGCCAAAAAGAAAATTTCTTATATAAATGTACAATTTAATGTTTAACCCCTTCCTGTCCACCAATTCAATTACTCTGGCATGCAGATATACCTAATGAAGGGAAAATACCTCCATACTTCACAGTCTTCACATGACAAAAGAAATTACATTTTGAAAGTGCAAACTTACTAGAGGATATTCAGAAATTTCACATCGGAAACGATGTAATTATATAATTCAAGTGTTTGAAACTTTTATTTCCACAATGCAATGAAAGCACTTACTTTATTTCAATAGATTCTGTCATAGAAATGCACTTGGTAGGAACATCAGACAAGTCCTGATCCATGGGTTCATCCCCGTTTGTCAAGCCAGACTCCAACTTGCTTTTCTCTTCTTCAGTAGCTTGAAGTTCTGGCACTAAGAAATCCTCTGGTCTAAATAACAAGTCTCTAATTAGAAGTAGTAACAAGCAAGCTAATATTATGTTACATATAACTAACTAGTAAATGGCATAATTTTTAGACTCCTCATATATCTCAAGATTTAAATATACATTTGATCCAAAGCCAATGCAACTCCATAATATCAATTATCAGCTGACTGCATATATTACGTTCCTCATTAAGGAGTACTCTTTAGAACACACCCTGTGAGCTAGTGAGAGTCCCTGGATAGATCACTAGATCTTAGTGGTTAGGATAAGTGCTATTACAACCTGGCCCTGCATTTGTTTCTCCATTTCTGTGGTTTCCTTTGCCAAGTCCCAATTCTTATACATCTCAGACCTCCTTTGATTTCTTTAAGAACCCCAGTCCTCCCATCCCTGCTCAAAGAAGGCAGGTAATTTTCCATTTGCACATTAGCAAGAAGACTGAGATACAAAAATCATTAGTTCCCTAAAAGCCTCCATCTTTATTTCAACAAACTGTTAACACATCTATCTTCCCATTTTTACTTCCAATATCAGAGTGTTGTATGTTAAAATTTTAAAAACAAACTTTTAAAAATGTTTTCTCTAACTCTTGTAATTGTCTATGCCCCACCCCCAAATGCACTCACAGTCCTGAGAATCCCAGCCTGTTACCCAACACCTAGACTATAGCAGCTTCTTTTCTCTGAAGTCCAGGGTCTCCCATTGTAATTCACATAATAATAACAGCAGTAGCAACCACCTGAAGTGCATTTACTATGAATCAGGTTCTATGCTAAGTGCCTAAAAACAGCCTTGTTTAATTCTCCCCATTTTTCAGACAAGGCAATTGAAGCTAAAGAGCACTGTCCATAAGCTGAACAGATTGGCCAGTAATTAAGTGGAATGGTAAGCAAACTCACCAATGGTGTTTAGATTGTTACTTTTCTTCTCTATTTTAGAGGGCCAAGTAGACAGAGGAATTTTCCTAATTAAACCCAAGAGTGATCTAAGTCCAATACAGGCTCAAGAGAGCATTATCAAACTACAAAGAGAGTGAAAGAGAGGGACAGAACTGTGTTGAGGTAGCAAGGAAGAAACAGGGAAGGTTTCCAGTAGTTTGTGGAGCCAGATTTAGCAGCCCAGAAACCTGGGATGGGAAAGTTGAACAAGGCAGAAGGAAAGGCATATGCAAAGGCGGAACATGAAAAAGCTGAGAAGGAACCTGAGAAGGCTGGTACCTCCAGAATGGAGAACACACACGGGCGTAGCAGAAATATGTAGAAACATAACAGAAAAGTAGGGAGAAACCAGAGCATGAAAGACATCGTACACTGTGCTAAGGCACTGACATCTGCTGAAAGTGACAGATACCCTAAAGGATCTTTATACAGGATAGTCTTTTCAGATATGAGATTAGAACATGTGATTTCAGTTCTTTTTCTAATAGTGGGTACAGATTTTGTAGATTTTCCATGGTCCCATTCACGCTCTCATGTTTCTCTTGTAAGTAAAACACATGTAATACTATCTGAGATATAGCCCATTTCCTAAACTTAACATATCCCGTCCATCAAAAGTTCTTCCTATCCTATGTCTCTCTCCAATGTATGTCCTTTACCTCTGTTTATAAGTGGGAAATAAAAGTCTTGATCTGAAGTAATAAAGCCACTAGCTTTCCTTTCATTTTAACTCTCTAGATGTTCCTCCACCTTTCTACATTTACGTTTAAACTCTAAGTCTCTATTGTTCAAGCTGAGGTACTCAGAAAGTAACAAGGCACATGAGGACCAGCAAGACCATTTAACTGAGCTCAAATGGTGACACACCTGATACCTCTAATCTGTAAGAAAGAAAAGCTTGTTTTGCTCACATACTTGATAATTTCTCCGTATTCATCCCATTTAATTCTTTCTTCTGGAGCAGGAAACATAGGGTAAGACTTTTTAGCCTGTTTGAAGAAGCTGCCTTTCCGACTGCCTTCGCCCTTCATCATCAGGTCATGCTTCGTCTTATGAGCTGATGGCTGGTCAATGTCTTCCTCAACATCGCTTTCATCACTGGAATCGATATCTGCCCTAGGAGGATTTTGTAATAGATAAAGGTCATAAAGCCCCAAAAGATTTTGAATTAATGCTGATAAAATTATTATTGGGTAGTGAATATTAACTGGATGGTAATAGACTAATCATCAATATTATTGGGTTGATATTTGTGAAACACAGCCTTAACTGCCACTTAATAAATGCATATTAATATCAGCAATGAAAGAATTTGGTATCCTAGTACCATTTGAAAGATGTAATGAAAGTAACAAGGTTGAAACAAAAGCTAACTATTTTCATGAAACTTTTTTGTTTTAGATAGAAGTTTTTCTCAAATTGCATACTTAAACTTGTAATATGTCTGAAAATAACTCACTCTTTTGACTGCTCAAGTTTTTTGGCAGCTTCTTTCTTGAGCTTCTCCCTTTCCAAGTATTCTTCAAGTTCTTTCCCTTCAAGCTTTACACGTTTCCTCAACTAAGAAAAACAGCAGATGAAAGGAAATATCAACATTAGGGGGTTAAGGCAGTGGGGTGTGAGACACATCACATCTCTAGATTGATTCATCATCTTTCAACTAAGTTTTCCTCTGAAATTATTCAAGGGTCCATTTATGTGCACTTACAGATCCTATTTAGATTAGTACGAAAATTGAGCTTTCCCATTTCTAGGGTGGGTTTAATTTAAACCAAACTGGCTTAAAATCACTAACTGGGGGGAAAAAATACAGCTAAGTATTTTTATGATTTAGTGCGGGTAAGGCCTACATATGACATAAAACCCAAAAGCCTTCATAAAGGAAAACATGAACAAATACAGCAACATGAAAAATAAAATCGCTTTAACATTTTAAATCTCATAAAGTTAAAAGAAACTGAAAATACTATCTGCAGCACTATATCACTAGCAGAAGCTAGTTTTCCTAAGACCCCTTCCAAACCAGAAAAAGATGGTCAACACATCAGAAGGCAAAAAATATAGGCAACTTCTAGGATAAGAAAAACAAATAACTAACAGTCATGACATGTCTAATTTCACTATTAGTTTTAAAATGAAAATATTTTTAATGTAATACCATTTTTTAACCTATGAGATCAGAAACACTAACTATTATATGGGAAAAAGGTACCTTCAACCACTATCTATGGGAAAATCAGCACAATTATGTTAGAAGGCAATTTGCCAACATCTAAAAGTAAAAATGAGCCCAGCTGGGCATGGTTCAGTGGTTGAGCGTCGACCTAGGGCCCAGGTGATTAGGGTTCGACTCCTGGTCAGGGCACATGCCCGGGTTGTGGGCTTGATCAATGACTCTCTCATCATTGATGTTTCTATCTCTCTTTCTCCCTCTCCTTACCTCTCTCTGAAATCAATAGAGATATTTAAAAATAATAAAATAAAAAAAATAAAAGTAAAAATGTGCTTGTCATTTAACACAGCATTTCTATTTATAGGAATTTATCCTACTAAAACAATCACACAAATGTGAAAAAAAAGGTTATTGCAGCAATGTTTGTATAGTAAAAAACTGGACACAATTTAAAATCCATCAATACAAAGTGATTTAATCAGTTCTCAAATTTTTTGATCTCAGAATTGCCTTACACTCTTAAAAGTTACTGAGAATACCAAAGAGCTCCTGTTTTTAATACTGTTTCTTTTTAAAATCCTCACCCAAGGATTTCTTTTTATTGAATTTAGAGAGAGAGAAACATTGATGCAAGAAACATCAAATGGTTTGCTTCCCGTATGTGCCCACAAACAGTGGTAGTTTCTTAAAGGCCAGTTGTAATGTGAAATTGGAAACCATACCAATAACTTTTGGTACTTTATATGAAAACGTGCTGACTTATCTTGCACTTTGTCTTTTTAAAAAAATTATTTTTTATTTTTATTGATTTTAGAGAGAGAGAGAGGAAGAAACATCAATTTGTTGTTCCACTTATTTATGAATTCATTGGTTGATTCTTGTATGTGACTGGGGACTGAACCTACAACCGTGGTGTATTGAGACAATGCTCTAACCAACTAAGCTACCTGAGTAGTGATTTTTGACTGGTAAAGCATGCCTATCTGAGGAGATGGCCCGTGAATTGAGACTTGAATGACAAGGAGCCAGCCTAGTGCAAAGCTGAGAAAAACATTATAGGCAGAAGGAACCCCTAGTGCAAAGATCCTGATGCAGGGCAGCTGTGCAGAGCACGGAGCAAGTGCAATAAGGTAAGGTCAGAAAGGTGGGCAGAGATCAGGGCATGTGGGACCTTGAAAGTCTGGGTAAGGGGTTTGGATTGTATGCAAATAGCAGAAGGAAGCCATTGGAGGATTTCAGGAGGTAATGACATGAAACAGTGAATGTTTAAAAGATGCCTGGGGAGTTGTCGTTCAATGGGTATAGAGTTTCAGTTCTGCAAGACGAAAAGTTCTGGAGATCTGCTGTAAAACAATGTTCATATAATTAACTCTACTGTGATGAACCCTTAAAAATGGTTAAGACACTAAATTTTGTTATGTGGTTTTCACAATAAAAAGAGAGACAGAGAAAGACAGAGATCTCTTTCGATGCTACGAGAAGAAAGGATTAAGAGTGTATAAAAGTAAAAACAGAGAAACCAGTTAGGAAACTACTGCACAGTCTAGGCAAGACTATTCAGCATGGGCTAGGATGATGGTAGTGGAGCTGGAGAAAACAGGCAGGTATGGGATATATCTGGAGGTCAAGCCAATAGGACTTGTTGCTAAACTGATTGTGGGTGTTGAAAGAAAAGAGCTGAAAATAAGTTTTAATAATCTGTGCATTAGAAGTCTGGACAATGGTTACCCTTCAAAGGGGCAGGGAAGACCACAAAGGGGGCATTCAGGGTACTGGTAATATTTTATTTCTTGATCTAGACACAGGCTGGACAAGTCTGTTCGATTTGTGAAAATGTGTCACACTGTATGCTCATAATATACACGCTGTTCAGTATACATTCTACTTCAATGAACATTTTTTTAAATTTCTGGATTTGGGCCTTGTGTAAACATGTGGAAAGCACTGCTATTCCCTGAGATGAGGAAAGCTCAGAGGACAAGTGTGGGGGTAGAGGAGAAGACATAGTAAAAATCGTCTTGGATGTGACCAAGTGGAGGAAAAAGTGATAGATCATGGACAGAAAAGAGATAGCTACACAAGAAATGTCCCTAACAAGGTGAGAGGGGAGAGAATCCAGAGCATAAGCACTACTTATGACAAAAAGCAAAACCAGAACATTTCCAGTTTCAGTTCCAAGTGTCATTTTCTATTTCTTCAAACTTAAACCACTTTCAATATTCTTTTATGAATTCCTCAAATGGCATATCTGCCTTGATTGAATTTCCAGTAATTAATATTTTCTAATACAGCATTTCATATCTGATGAAGCCATTTTAAGCATTTCTGAGTTCTCTTAACTTTGTATTTCTAAGCTATTAAATAACCCAAAAGACAGCATTTTACTTTGGTGTGCCTGCTTTGAACCCTTCCACCATCCTGCATTTATAGCGAATGTATACCAGACTTTGGTTACTATGATTACTCTCTTCTTCAGTAGAGTTAATAGGATGCCCTTCCTACTCAGCTTTTAACAAACCAAACACCCAGAAAATGGCTGCTAGGAAGACAACATGGAAAGCTGTCGTCTAACCCGAGCGCAACACCGGCGGGTGTTAGCCCGTTCAGGATCACGAGCGCTAAACTCCAAGTTAACAGCAGTTACGGAAAACGGATTTGGTGGGTTGGTTATTAGCAAAATGATCTTTTGGCAAAATGGCCATTTGACTAATTGTCTTGCTCCTATAACAGGAGCCAAGGCAGCAAATGCAGATGCAGAAAACAGGTGAGGCTCTTCAGTGGTGAGAAACAAGGGGATTCCCATCTGCGTTGAGTCTGAACCAGGTCATGTGCTACGGGTGAGGCGTGAGACGGGGCTGTAGTAGTTTTGAGAAGAGAGGTATGACGTCTTCTTCCTGGGAGTGCAGAAAGGAACAGCCCACAAAATGCTAAGTACTAGTGTTGGGTGCCCTTCTCAGAAGTGAGGCCATGACTATGAAGGAAAACTTGTCGCACGCACTAGAGAATTTGTTGTTGTTTTTAAATATGTTTTTATTGATTTCAGAGAGAGGTAAAGGGAGAGGGAGGGACAGAAAACATTGATGGGCTGCCTCCTGCACGCCCCCTACTGGGGATCGAGTCTACAACCCAGGCATGTGCCCTGACCAGGAATCAAACTGGTGACCTCTTGGCTCATGGGTCGATGCTCAACCACTGAGCAACACTGGCCGGGCACACTAGAGAGTTTAAGCCAGTAGCGTAAAGTTGCTTGGGTATAGTCACAAACTAAGCAAATGGTGTAACTAGAGTCAAGGCTTTGCCAGGTGAGTACAACAGCAGAAAGAAGAGTAAAGTTAAAGGTGTTTACAAAATAATGATGGACCATGGACTGGAGGTCCGATGGATAGTAAAAGTGGTGAGGTTCATGAACTTAAAGTCCCAATGGGACCGAAAAACTGCTGACACAGCAGTAATAGAGAAAGTCACCTGTAAGATCAGAGTGGGATGCTTGAGGTAGTAGAGATGTGGAGGTTGTTCAACCAGAACAAGGTGAAGGGCACGACCATGGGAGTAGATGGTGGGAAGGATGCCTGAGGTGGAGTGGAGGAAAAGATCACTAAGAAATAAGAGGTCAAGAAACAGAGAGCCAAGGAGCCAGACAGACAGCAATGCTAAAGTCATCAAGAATGTAAGTCCTGAGTACAAGTGGACAGGAAGGCTATGAACCAGGGTCCAAAGTCACTGATGAATGACAGAGCATGACCAAAAGATCGGTGAATGTCAGGAACAAGGAGGGGTGAGCGTACTGTCAAGTGTGATGTTCAAACTACAGAGGGAAGAGAAATGGCTTCAAAGCTGCAAACACAACAAGAACACCTACGCCACCGAAAGGACATGAAGCGTCAAAGAGGGCAAAAGGAGCATCTACTTGAGAGGGCTACAGGGAAAAAGAGTCTCACTAGGGAGGAGCCGGATTCCAGCTAAGGAAAGGGTGCGGGGCAGCTTTCAAAGAGGAACTGAGAATACAGCATGGAAAGGGTGCGGGGCAGCTTTCAAAGAGGAACTGAGAATACAGCATGCACGCGTACTGTCTGCGTGTGGCTCAGAGGGTGCCATGGAAGGGCTCGAGAATGACAATGTCCAATTACGTAGCTCTGAAATGTGTGCTATTAAAGGCTCTCTACTGTTATTCTGATAAAAATCTTGAAACAATTTTGAGTTTTATAATGTATTCAAAACAGTGTTAAGATAAAGTTCACATACAAGCACTTACCTCTATTTCTGTAATTTTTTCAGAAGGATTATCAATTAAGAAACGCGCTAAAGTCCCAGGAGTAGTTCTGTAAGTTAGAATGATTGAGTTTTTAGGGTCCTCACACCACTGAATGAAGAGATCCCTTGAAAATCCACATTCCAGGTCTGGCTGGCTGGCAAGTACCACTTTAGGGCTAGGTACTCGAGCCAAGTCAGAAAGGCCATGACACAAAGAGAGATGGCGGAACTGAAATGGATTATTTCTTTTGTCTTCAAAACATCTCATCAATTTGTCACTCATCCATTCTACCTAATGTGGGGGGAAGATAACAGTAATGAGAAAACGCTGTATTATCACTTCAATGTATCCTACAACGGTCAAGGAGTTCAAGTTCTATCTCAAGTCTTTCCCCCAACCCCCCACCCCACTGGTTGCTTAAATCTGTACCTTTCTGGCAAGCCCCTGATTTTCTGCTTCCATTCCCCACCAGATCCCACCACCCTGGTGTTCATCCCTAAAAATCTGATTTTGCATTGTTTCACTTATAAATTACTTTAAATATATTGAGAAGGGTATGTATAGGTTCCAAATGAATATCTTACTCCAGAGACCGCTCTTTCCAGGACAAGAGCTTATTCTAAGGGAAGAGAAGAATGAATTCTAACATCTGCAGCCTATGAGGTTGGTTTGCTCTCTCCCGCCACATGCGATACTAAGAGCAGAGGAGAAGCAACTGGCGCAATCTGTAAAATGGGGGCAAATAGAACCTGCTTCACAGGGTATATAAGGATTAAATAATACATGCAAAGCAGGAAGAACAGTACATGGTTAATTGTTAGCTTTTATTATTACTCTCCTCCTCAACAGAAAAAGAAAATCTAAAGGGCAATTAAGACACTGTTTTCCACAAGCTTGATCTCTGTAGCAAACTTTATTATAAATGATAAGGTAAAAACCAACCTGGGACTTAGAAAACTCTACCACGTTGTAACTGACGTTATTGAGCAGTGCCAATGAGTAAACACCCAGGCCTGCATCTTTTGTTCTCCAAATCTGGTCAAGGAGCTGAGCAAGTTCCAGAACCCTGCCTGCAGTGTCCACGGCTATTAACACATTGCCATCCCCTCGAAGTGTCTCCAGGACATTTGCTAGAAAACAAAGAGTATAAAATCCCTATAGAACACAACAATACTTTTTGGTGCAAAATTAAAGATAACTTTATCTTCATGTTTTTCTATAAAAACTATAGTTGATAAATAAGCCATTACTAGGCCAGGTACAAAATAAAAGAATTTCATTCAGGCTAATACAGACACTTTTTATTCTGTGAACATCTCTTTTTAGAAGTGCAAAACAATGCCATTAATAAATCACTGGCTTCCAACCATTATCACCCACAGTACACAGAGAAAATGGTATTTTTACAGTACAGTGGGAAAACTGAAAGAGTAGGTCAAGTACAACCATCCTGGGGTTTCCAGGTCACTCCAGTGTTGCCTACCCACCCCAGGGAACTTCGTTATAAACAATTTCCAAATGTATACACACATACACACATGTACTTTATATTAATACGTACATGTTTTGTATGTAAGTTTGCCTGCAAAATAAAATAGAGCATGTTCTCTCTTCTAACAAAAGTATCTTTATGGATAGATTTAAATAGATTCCCTTGTTCTAGGTGAAAGTCTACTTGAAAATACTTAGTAAAGTCAAACTCTGGCTGAAAACATGAATTGAAAACATTCTTAGTGTAACATAGTACACGAGTTATACTTTTTAAGTAGACAGACAAAGGCAGTAGTTTCAAACACGTTTAAAAATGGAATCCAGCTTTGCCTATTGAAACCTCACGTAGCTTATAAAAAAAGAATGTAAGGTAAAGCAACTGGAGACAAAGCAGAAGCAACCAGGGACAGCCCAGTAGCACCCCTTTAGAGCCAAGTCAACTAGATTAGAGTGTAAAACACCCAAAACCAAAAACAGGGAGCTATTTGCATCCTCATTTATCTCCTTTATTCATTTTTTACAGTATGTTTTTCTAATAGATAAAAGATGTTTATATTTTGTTTTTCCCTAGACATATACTAGTGAGTGCCAGGGAGAGCTAGCTATGTGCTGAACGGCAGGGAGAAGCCAGTCTTTATACTTATGAGACAAAAGTTAAATTCAAACCAACGAAAGCATCTTTTTGTACAAAATATTCATATGGTCACATAGCATTTTTTCAAAAATACTAGCATTAGCCAATCTTTCATGACAAGAGAAGTGTTACCCAGGACAGAACAAGCAGCAATGCACAGACCGGGCACTTCCCCAGCTCCTTATAAAGGGCATTACGTAATACATACTCAGAAGCTGCTCATCTCTCTGCTTTCTCCTCGGCTGCACATACGTAGCATTAAATGAGTCTGTGATAAGTAGGGAGGGTCTGCTTAGCATTTCCAAGGAACACCCATTTAAGTGGCTATAACAAATTTGAAGAAGAGAAATATTTTGTATCACTTCAAACAACAGCTTGTCTTACCTAAAAATAAGCAACTTCTTCTATGAGGTTTTTTCCCCCCTCTAACTATAAGTATATACGCATGCTCACTGATAAGAAAAATCTGGTAAATTAAAAAAAAGGAAAGCCAAGGTTTTCCAGAGTTCTATCATTCAGATATAATCGACATAATATGCTGTGAATACAAAATGAAGTATTTAAAATTTAACTCCTGTGTCTCCTTTTAAAGGGAGTCTGACTTTAAATATAACTATATTAGATGCTCATTGTTGGCTCTACCAAAAAAAAAAAAAAATCACACGTCATTTGTTTAAACAGCAGGTCAAGAGCATATAAAATACAGTTTGACGTACAAAAATCAATCCCCTTTGCAACATCTCCAGGGAGAAATCCGTTTTATAGAGTGAATACTAACATGTAAATTTCAAATATATCTTTTATCTCATATATCATAATTTTCACTTACAATGCAAATAAAGTAATTTTGAAAATACTCACTAGTTGGCGCTTTAAAATTGCTCTAGATTACTGGTGAAAAAATAATAATTTTGTAATTCTAATTTTCCCTCCAAAGTATAAAATAATACCAATTGTATTTCTATCAGCTTTTCTCTTGATATACCTACATCTCCCTCTTGTGGTTGAAGTCAACGGCATACACAATTTCTTCTTCTCCATCTTTGACTATTTTCCATATCGTTCCACCTATCATATGACCAGCTGGCAGAGGTGTGATAGACAAGCCATGTCCTTTACCTAGATCAACGAAATAATGACAACACTCAGATATCTTTCAATCCCTAAGGAAAGGTTATTTGGCTATTTTTTAATAGGTAATATATACAATGATACAAAATTCAAAAGTAAAAAGGCATTCAGTGAAATGCAAGTCTGACTCTCCTGTCCCCTGGCTACTCCATTCCCTCATGGAGGCAAATGCTCTTGTCAATTTATAAGTATTCTTGCAGATATATTTGTGCTTATGAATAAAAGGCTGGAGACTGGACTTAACCCTTTGAGGTCACATTAAATTTGGACATGGGTGTTGTACTGGTCGGAATTAATTTCCATTGAAAGAGCAGTGATACATAACATGCAAGATTATGAAGGATAAACGAGGAATTATGAACTGATACATGAATGAATAGAGTTAAGATTCGTACAGTTCCTTGCTGTGGTGGCTGAGAGCAGACATACGACCAGAACGGTCAAAAAGCTTTGGTGGCTGAGAGTAGACAAACGACCTCAAAGGGTTAAAGTTACTATTACTAGTAAATTACTTAGTATGAACTAGTAAATTTTAATATTTATATTGTACACACAATTATTAAGTATTGACATTTTGCTAACCTCTAAACTGACCATTCAAAGGTCATTACAGTAAAGTATTTATCCTATAGAAAAATTCAGTACATGCACAACTGTTGAGATCACTGTTCCTTCCTGGCTAACTCTTCACATTTCCTGGCTGCACCATCTTTTCAATGCCAGGGGTCATATGTGACCATCTTTGATACAATTCTCTCTGTAGATGATCAGTATATGCTCAAAATGTAACTTCCTGAGTGAAAGGATAAGCTTTTTCCGGCTGGATTCTAGAATGCAGTCATTCTGTCCTCTGTGCCCCCCGCGCTCCGTTTCTTCAGTCACCACACGCAGCGTCACCTCCGCGCCCCAACGGTGCGCTCCGGGAGGATCCGCCACGCTGCCTGTGCATCACACACAGTGGACACTAAACGAGTCCTTCCCGAGCCGAATGTGAAAAGGCCTGAGTTGTTCGCATTGTTAGTGTTTCGCCGGGAATATTTTCCAGTCCAGGTGACTCGGGTAAGTTCACAGTTCTTATTAAAAAATGCTAATGTTTTATTCCTCAGACAATGGTGCCTACAAGTTTTACTACAAATTCCCCCTGTATTTTTCAGCAAGTTAAACCCTATTAGTCCAATCATTTACTACAGGAAACATTTTTTACCTTTCAAATTCACGATCTGAGAGAATTTCAATTGCTGTATCTTATCAAAGGCTGCATCCACGTCATCTAACGTGAAGAGCGTGAAATCCTCCGTATTGTGCCGAGACTAAAAGAACAGCACAGATACAAGGTTAAAAACATCACCTGAGGGGCATCAAAAATTGTGTTTAACTTGCCTGACTTACCTGATACAGATCATACATGAACATCTGTCCCATTTTGTAAACAGGAATGGTGGCATAGATGGCGCAGTTCAGACCCAACTTTCCGACGGCATAGGGGAGGGCTCCAAGGTGCAGGGGGTCGGGGTGAGACAACAGCACCGCATCGATCTGGTGAACGTGCCTGGGGAACGCCAGCAAAATGATCACGTCCCAAGCCATGCTTTCAGGATAAGGGCAGGACACTCAAGGCTAATTCACCAATTCTGACTCCTCTCAGTATTCTGAATTGAAGACTATGCTGGAGTAAACGAGCTAAAAGTATGATGCCTGCAAAGTTCAATTCTTACAACCTGTGTCCTGTATAGACATCAAAATTATGGTATACTTATGTCACAGGTTAGTATATAGTGTCTAGACACATTTAAGAGAGAAAAGAAACAGTAGACACCACATATAAGCTGATTTCAAATGGCTATCTTATATACCGTAAATTTAAGTTCAAGAACTCAGCTTGGAATTTCGGAAATTAAGGAGAGGATATTTAAACAGCCACATATTTATTATGAATTTCTGGCCCAGCTTTTTATCAGGGTAGCTGACAGCATATTCATTATAGTAAAACTTCAATTAATCAATGGAGCATATGTTCTCATTGACAAAAGAAAAAACATTTTTGCTACAAGTTCCAAGTTTTTTAAATGCTTAGTCCCCTTTCCTTCCATAGTTAGTACGATGCTGCAGACATAGCTGAATTTTCCTCAGACATGGCTAGTATCCTTTTACCTCATGGTCACTATTCTGAGCAACAATTCTCTGTGTCTAGCATCAAAAGATCAAAAAGTACACTCATGTGATCTGACTGCAGAACTTTCACATGGAAAGGTTTTCTTCTCCTCAGATTCTTATAACTTTCATCTTGCTCTTTTCTAAAATTTGGGTACAAAATTTCTACTGAGATCCATTACCCAAGTAACGATTAACTTAAGATTATGCTGAATTTCAAATAACAAGCTTATAAGTGAATCAAACTTCACAAGTGAAAAGTCACTCATTGGCTCTTTGGCATAAGTAAAACTAAGGCTTTTACTATAAACTAAACTAGAGCAAAAAAAGCAAACACTGTGTAACATGAAAATGGACTTATAGTGTAGAAAATTAAAGTTGACTTACTAGAAACAGTAAAAGGAACTTACTTCCTCAGGGAATCAATAATATCCATAGAAAAGTGCTCATCCCAGCCACAGTCCAATAAAAATCTAAATTCATCAACTTGGAGAAGATAACAAAGGGCAGACTCTTCTTGAACCCCAGAGAGGGTAGTTAATTTGATAATAGATGTCATTTTTTCATTCAGTAACAACAGTCCAAAAGGTTCTTTCAAAAGAAAAAAATATAATTAAGTATAAAAGTCCAATCTAACATACATAATAGACAAATTAAAGTTATAACTAATTTCTAAGTGGACAGAAATTCCATAAACACAGAAAGCAAACATTTTAAAGACCCATTTCCATTACTGCTAATTTAAAAGCACAGACATCTTACACACTTTTGCTTACAGTGAGCCCTTCAATGGCTGCCCAGTGTGCTTTGATGAAAAGTAGTGGACTTTAGAATCAGGCAGACTCAGGTTTGAATCTACTCCTATGTGGTTCTACGCAAGTTAATTAACCTTTTCTCACCCATGTATCCCAGTCTATAAAACATGAATATTAATATACACATAAAAACGATGTTAGAATTTATGTTGGGATGCCTACTACATATATTTCAAGAAAATATAACACGAACACATCTATTGGGATTTAAGACCTAAAACAAGACTTGTGTGCTATTAAACCCAAGTTATAAAAACATTCATTAGCAAAATATAGCTCCACAGAAACATTCCAAATCTTAGATCTTTAAGATAAATTAGCCTTTGCCCTGGCCGAGTAGCTCAGTTAGTTAGCGAGTCTTCCCAATACGCCACGGTTTCGGATTCGATCTCCAGTCAGAGCACATACAAGAAACCACTGATGAATGCATAAATAAGCGCACAACAAACTGATGTTTCTTTCTCTTTCTCTCTCTCTAAAAATAATTAATTAATTAAAAAATAAAATAAATTAGCCTTTCTCTACTCTATGCAAGTAGAGAAGTCACTGCATAACTATAACATCACCATCTATCTGCCCAAGGTCCTATCGACAAACTAAGGTGAACTTACTGCCATCTTTCATAACAGGCTGTCAGGGGGCTAATCCCACCACATCCCCCATCCTGTTCTCCTCAGCCACAGCCCCAAATCAAGACTCCTACTGCTCCATTATCACCGATGGGTGCATGTCCTAGTTGGACCCAACCCCTCCACCTCCTCCCTCCCAAGTCCTTCCAGTCCGCCCTCTGGAGCTATGCTTGTATTCATGTGAAATACTGCGCTGGAACAGGACTGGACTGATACCTTGCATGGCCAGAAGATGAACAAGTAGGTCCTAGAACAAACTAAGCCCGAAACATCACTGGAGGCAAAAGATGACAAAAGTGGAGCTGTCCTACTTCTCACTCATCATGAGAAGGCAGGGCTCTCTAGAAATGGCCATAAGGCTGGAAAAACTAGAAAGCAGCAGGAAAGGAGGAAGACCAAATACGACATGGACTGACCCCAAAAAAGAAGCCACAGGCATGAGTCTACAGGAGCTGAGCAGGGCTGTTGAGGACAGGACATTGCGAACATAACTCATTTATAGAGTGGCCAGAAGTTGGAGCCGACCCAACAGAAGATAATACAACATGCATGACAATTACATGAATGAACTAAAAGAAACTTTTCTTCTCAAATCTACCTTACCTCCTACTTTATCTACATCATAAAGTGAAAACACAAAGCACCTTGCAGATAGACCTGAGTGAATACGTGTTAAAACATTTTTGCAGACAGACCCTGACTTCAACACATGAAAAGTATTTTTATTACAACTGCTCAGAATATAATAAAGCTCTACCTTTGTTAGACATTCATTACTTACTGATATCTCAGTGGTATATAGGATGAAACACCATGAATTCAAAGGAAGAGTTCTTTATAATCTAAAAAATAAAGAAATGAGTTAATGAATGAGGCATGATTTACTTCAGTTTTAATTATGCTGTTTAATTTCTATGTCTTGCCCTGAGATGAACACCGTGAGCGGCAACAAGTAGTATAATGTATGATCCTTTTTCAAAAAACAAACTCGTCAGGACATCTGTAATACTTTCAACAATAAAGATAAATTTTTTAAAAAGGAAACTTGTCAGCCCAGGCCAGCGTGGCTGCTGGAGCGTCGTCCTGTGCACCAGAAGGGTGCAGATTGATTCTGCCAGGGCACATACCTAGGTTGCTGGCCGGGGCACATATGGAGGCAACTGACTGATGTGTCTCTCTCACATTGATGTTTCTCTCCCTTTCTCTCTCTCCCTTCCTCCTTCTCGGGGGGAGAAAAAAAAAGAAACTTGTCATAATTTTAGGAAGCTTAAGCTTACATAAAACAAACAGGGATAAGATAATAAGAGATATAATAAAAAACAAAAGTAACAATATATCAAATTGGTTATAATCAGGGCTGAAATATGCAGTTTAGGAAATAAGATTTACTTAAGAACTGACATTAGCTTATGTCATTGAAACTCATAAAAAAGGTGGAATCTTAAATTATTCATTAAGGATTGGTAGGATTTAGGTAGAAAGAGACAAAGAGAAAAGGTATCCATAATGATAATAGGCACAAAACAAAAAATTACAGGCTACCAGTGAAAAACTAGCCTGGCACATGAATAGAAAAGGGCCAGACAAGTGAAAGGCCGTGGAACTTTGGACCTAGTTCTACAGGCAACAGAGAAACATTTTAAGATCCATTATCAAGTTGGACAAACACGTGATGTATTTTAGGAAAACTGGCTGGTGGGTATGATTGATAACAAGGTACAGAAAGTTGGGAGATCAAAAGAGGGAGCATTTAGCAGGCTACTTCCTCCTTTCAACTTTATTGGTTCTCTTTTGAGGCTAATTTCTTTAGTCCTAGATGTACTTTTAAAACTAAGACACTGTTATTATATCTAAGTAACCAAGGCTTGTAACTCTACATGTTTGATTCCTCTTTTGATTCCACGTTTGATTACTTCTTTTTAAACAGTCTGTTACCAACTCCTGGTTATTTCTCCCTCAGAACGCCTTGCACATGTATCATTCCCCTCTATTCCTACTGCCAGTACCAAAACGCTGGGTTTCGGTTTCCCCGCCTCCAGCCTTTCCCCATTTATCTCAACTTAAACATTCCCGCCAGATTAATCTTCAGGAAAAACCCTGCACATATTATCTCCTGCTCAGAAATCTAGGAAGGCTTCCTACTGCTTGAAAAAACAAAAAGAGCAGAAACCTGAATGCCTTCACCGGCAATGGAGGGCGCCAGCTAGCTGTCCTGACATCACTGCTCACCATCAGCTCAAGACCCAGCTCAAACTCCACGTTCTTACTCTATCATTAGTCTAGACTACAACAGCCTAGTCCAACAAAAATACAATGCAAGCCACAAATGTAATTTCAAATTTTTTTCACAGCCACACTGAAAAGATTTACAGGTGAAGTTAATTTGAATATATTTTTATTTAACCCAATACATCTAAAATATTTCAACATGTAATCATTATTAAATTATTAATTACATAATTTAAATTGTGGGGTTTTTTTTGCACTGTCTTTGAAATCTGGTGTGTATTTCATATTTACAGCACATCTCAATTTGATCTAACCACAATTTCAAGTGCTCAATAGCTACATGTAGCTCCTGGCTGCTGTAATAGCACAGGTCTAGACTCTAAAATCAACCCTTCTGAACGCAGAGCGTTGTGTTGGGCCACTGCTAAAGTGCAGGCTGGCACCATTCTATTTTAATGTACACGTCTTAGGCTTGATTTTAATGGTATCATCACCCATTTAGTCTCCCAGACTAAAACCTCGGAGCCACCCTCTTACCACCAAATTGGCTGCCACCCGATGAACCCTATTTGACATTTCAGAAATGTCTCTCTGGCATCCTTTACTATCAACTGAGGTGCTCAGTACCTTACCTGAATGATAGCAATTTCCTCTCATCTAGTTTTCCTGTTCCAAGCTGATCCCCCATACGGCTGCCATTCTTTTAAAAACCAAATATACTCATGCCCCTTCCTTGTGCAAAGTACCCGCTGGCTCCCTGCTATCGGGTGAGTCAACATTTCACAACTTCCCCAATCTGTGCATTCCTGTTCTCCATCCAGGAATGACCTTCTCCTGAGTCTAGTAAAAGCCTTTTGACCCTTCATGACCCAGCTCAAATAGCTATTTCCTCCTTAATATATAAAGCTTTTTTTGGTGTCCTCAAGCAGGTCTTTATTTCCACCTAGCACAAACTGGCAACAAAGAATACTTGTTGAATGGATACTGAATGCACCGGCGAAGGGTAAATGCGATGGCCTTGGTGGCGCCCCGAGCACGTTCTGGGCAGTGATTCTGACCCATTGCTACCCCATCGCAATCATCTGTCACAGTTACTGGCTCTCTTAATAGCAGCCCTGCAAGTTGATGACAACTCAGGGGAACGCTGCAAAATGAAAGGTTGAAAAGAAGGGGTCTGGCTTGGCCCCCCGAGCGCACTGAGAGCGGAGTCTCTTCCGGGTCAGCTCCAGAAGAGCCGTGATTGCCTAAGGGGATCAAAGGGGTTCTAAGATTAAAAAATGCGAACACGGCAATGGTTAGCTCAGGTCCCAGGAGGCCAGACTTGCCCGGGTTACGGCTGGTCTGACCTCCTGTTTACTGAAGAGCCCGCAGGAGAGACTGACG